GATCGGGCCCTGCCAGGAGGTCAGTGAGGAGCCATGCTACCCGACCTACCTTGGGCAGAGGACGACGCCGCGTTGGCCTCGCCCCTGGGCGTGGGCGGCTCCAGCGAGGCCACTGCGACGATGCGCGACCTCGGCTCCTCGGCGCTGCCTGGAGCGGATGCCGACGTCAATGGGCCCGCGGCGGGCCTGCGCCATGTCCGGTAGGGCCCCAAGTGCGACGGTTTCGGCGTCGACGCGTGCTGCGGGGTCGCCCGCAGGCTCGGCGGCGGTGGGCGGCGCGCTCGGGCCTGCCAGGTCGAGCGCGGCGTCGACGGGGCCCAGCCTGGTGGCTCAGCCGCCGCGGGGCCCGAGCAGTGCTGCCTCGCCGCCTCCGATGTCCCGCGCGGTCGAGATCGCTGGCCCGTCCGTCAACTGCATCGCGCGCGGCCCCCGCTGCAAGCAGGTGGCCAGGGCTCTCGCGGGCCCCCGCAGGAGGCTCGGCCCGCGCGACGCTCGTGACCGCGAGCGTCAGAGGCGGCTGGGCCGCGTCATGAGCGGGCGAGATTCCGAGTCGGGCAAGCCGCTCCAATCGTGCATGAGGGGATTTGCGCGGCCGATGCGCCCGTCCTGGCCCAGGCGATTGGCGCCCCTGGCCTTCCCCGCCCGCGCTGGCTCGGCAGGCGGTCGGCTGCCTGAGGGCCCAGGGGCGACCGTGCGGAGCAGACGCCTGGTCGTTCTAATGCACCAAAGCACCAGAACACACACGCTCACGCACACGCACACGCACACACGCACACACACAGACACACAGACACACAGACACACACGCACATACACACACACACACACTCACACTCACTCACTCACTCGCTCACTCACGCGCGCGCACACGCGCGCGCGCACACGCGCACGCACACGCGCACGCACACGCACAAGCGCACGCACACGCACACACACACGCACACGCACGCGCACACGCACGCGCACGCGCACACGCACACGCACACGCACACGCACACGCACACGCACACGCACACGCACACGCACACGCACACGCACACGCGCACACGCACGCGCACGCGCACGCGCACGCGCACGCACACGCACACGCACACGCACACGCGCACGCGCACGCGCACGCGCACGCGCACAC